AAAAGGTGAGACATGTAAACCTCTAGTATAACATCTCCTTTAACTTACGAGAGCGATGACATAGAACTAGAATTGTTGAAAATCTTTCAAGTCGCATAATAACAAGTGAGTGTTCTAAAGTAGGTATTATGCTCATCAGAGTTTCGAAGTTTCGTTGACGATCTTTTGTAGATCATTCACAACGGAGTAAGTTAAATTTAGTTGAGTAAGTTAAATTTACTCGTTTAACAACGAGATTTAACATGTATTTAGCAAGTCCTTAAGTCGTGTTAAATTACATACAGCATATTTCAATTCTTATCTTCATTAAGACATGCATAAAAAGTTTATACAAATGTATAAAGACATTCATTAGAAATTAGCCATTCGGTAAGTTTATTGGATTCTTTGTATTGCATTAAATTCTGTTCCTTTCAAATTATTTCTTTTATTTTGGTGCTACCAGCTGGCACTTTGGATAGTTATTTGTACAATTTTTATTAAAATGTTATTGTAGCCTCTTTGCTATTTACTTTTCTGGTTTCTAATATTGTTAGCAAGCCGTTTCATATAGTGTTGCTTGGATATAGTATTTCGGCAAAGTTGCGCACTGACCGTTTGTGTGAGTGAAGTGATTGCATATATCTCGCACTTAATATAAATTAATAAAATTAAAAAGGGTATTTATATGTACTGTCTGACATGTGAAACACATGACTTATTTACTTTCTTAAACAATATTGCGGATTTTGGGGTTATTATTATTAAATTTTTTTAAATAAATCCTTTCCTTGTAAATATTTCTTTTCTTGATACATAAAGTTTTTAAATTAATTCAAATAAAATAATTTACTTAAAATTTTGAATTTATTTTAGCCAAATTGAATGCAGTTAAAATTAATTTTTGATTAAATTTGTGTTAATTTTCTTATCAGTGGGTGTCACGCCTAACATTTAAATAGAAAGGGTGAACTTCTTCCATTTCTGGTGAAATGCGTTCAACAGAAAATCATATTAGCAGAACTAGGACGTAGTTCTTTGCAGCAGTTTACACATAAGAAACTAATTTACAAGTTAAACACAAATTCATTTGTGTGCGAACGCACATAAACGCAACTTTACTTTGTCTTTCCGGCTAATGTTATTGCAAATTTGCTCTAGGCGCCTCGTGCCCCTCCTTCCAGGAAGAAGCAAATTATTTTACTTCGAATGTAGTTTTACTTTTGATTTTCTTTGCTTGCGAACATTTGTGCTACTCTTACTTAAGTGCACCATTGACCTTGATGATTATCTCAGTTTTATGGATTCATCACCCAAGCATTATGGCTCTACCAATTTAAATCTCTACTGAAACTTATTCCCCAAAAATTTGGGCCCAAGTCCGCTTTGCTTTTAGTGAGCAATTTACTTTTATCACCTAATAAAATGTTATTTTATGCTCGTAATTCAGTTGTAATTAGAAATTATTGCCGAGAATGTAGTTTAGAGCTGACAACCCATATGAGGTGATATGTAATACTTACGTGCACAGAAAGTATCCTGTTTGAAGTTTTAAATTGTACTTATTATGTGCAGTACGCAATTGAAGTATTCCTCTTGAAAATATTTACTATGTTCCTGATTTTTAGTAGGTCACCTTTTCATATATATTAAATTTTGTGGGACACACTGAAGTATCCTATTGTATTGCTGAGACTCACATTTCTATGGGAATCGGTTGAGAATACGAAACCTACGATAAAAAAGGAATTAGTTTTTATATGAATAACTTTTGACAAAAAATTATTTATTGATTTAAACTGAATTGTGTAAATGAATGATAGCCCTGTTTTGGATGAGCAACGAAATATATA